GCGGAGGTAGGTGGCGGGGCCGCACAGTGAGGTGGCGGGGCCGCGAAGGTAGGTGGCGGGGCCACACAGGTAGGTGGCGGGGCCACACAGGTAGGTGGCGGGGCCGCGGAGGTAGGTGGCGGGGCCGCGGAGGTAGGTGGCGGGGCCGCACAGTGAGGTGGCGGGGCCGCGAAGGTAGGTGGCGGGGCCGCGGAGGTAGGTGGCGATGGGCGCGACGGGCGCGACGGGCGCGACGGGCGCGACGGGCCGAAAGGGCGGCGCGACTCGGGCCGGCGCAAAACGCGCTCCGGGCAGGAAAAAAAAAATTTCGTGGTGGTGGGCCCTAGGAATCGTTCCCACTAGGGAACCTGCTCGATACCATGATAAGAAACGAGGAATGGAATGACTAAGTGAAAGTTGGGTACAAGAAGCAAACCCTAGAAAACTGTACCCCATATGTGCTACCCCACTATAGCCTACAGTAGCTATGTCATATAAATCTGACATATATATATACACTTGCATGTGAACTGGCCTTGTGGCTTTTTGAACCTGTGTTCGGAATGTGTGGTGACGTTGTGATCCACCCTGAGCTTGCTTTGTTTTGCTTTGTTTGACTGGTCTTGTGACCCCTTGTTCTCCCCCACTTTGCCTATGGGGGTGTGTCAAACATTAATCACATAGCCTATCTAGGCTGTAGTGGGGTAGACACTATGGGGTACAGTTTTCTAGGGTTTCATATTTGTACCCAACTCATTTCCTAGTCAATCATTCATTCCTGTTTCTTCACACTACTCCACTCCCCTAAATTGAGAAAGCTTGCTTTCTTATTCTTATCAATTGACATCGTTCTCATTACAAATGGTTGTTTACAACATTTGCATCACAATTGAATACAAGCTAGTGCATGCTCATATCACTAGCTACGATATACCCTATCCAAGTGGCATGCGCAAAACGGTTTACGCTGGGGTGGGTGGTGGGAATGTTGAGTGAGCCGTTTGAAAATCGAGAAACGTGGGTGGAGGGAAATGAGCTCCAACCCACGGTTTTTGTAGTTGGAGAAGGGCGTTTAGCGCGCTTCGACGATGCCAATTGTGCAATACAAGTAGGTTCGCTTTCACAATACACAATTTTGAAAAACACTATGTGTGTTTAAAATTTATAATATTGAAAATGCTTGCTTTCTTATTCTTATCAATTGACATCGTTCTCATTACAAATGGGGTTTCTGAGACATAGGCAGCGGGGGCCTCCGGTTACGCACGAGTGCCTCTGTGTGTTGTGCCGAAGTCACCGCATGCGTCGGATCTTGTAGGTTGCGGGAGGCTTTGATGAGACGCTCGACGTATGGCGTGACATACATTTCCTTTGCTATGTCGCTTCGTCATCTGCCCAGCCGTTTGAAGACTCTGTCTGGCACTCCAGTGTTGGCTGCTACTGTAGCTGCGCCTTTTCAGAAAGAGTGAGTGCCGAGCTGCAACTCGCCAAGGCCAACCTTTACGAAGGCTTCCTTGCACCAGTGGCGGATTGTAGTGTATGAAGGTGGCCTCGCCTGACCTTTGCTAGTTGAAGCATTGCCGAAGATGCGAATCAACGGTCCTTCTGACAGAGGGCCATAGCCGGCGAGTTGGATGAAGCGTCGGGTACAGCGCACTGGGCAACAGGGGTCTGTTGTTGCTGCAATGGGAATTCATGTGTCATGATCGACCTAATCAGTCTTGGAGTGTGGTATGAGGATCCACATGACCTCTTCGTCGAATTGAATGTCTTGCCACTTTATGGCCACTAGGTCGGAGTATCGCAGAAATCCCGAGTACATGAGGATGGGGATTAACCATTTCTGGAATTCCGCAGGGTCATCGGACTGCAGGTAACGTTCGGCCATGTCTCGAACTCATTGGATCGATACGGGTTCCTTCAGACGAGTAGGGCGAGGGCAATGTCGTTTTGCACAGTCACGCATTTGGGTGGTGAATGGTCCGATTGTCGGGCATTTGCTCCCAGTCATGCGAAGGGCGAAGCTAACTACCGAGCACGTCAGCTGCACTACGGACATGGTGGCTTTGCGTCGGATTGCGTGTACCAAGTATAGTGCGAGGGTCATGTCAGAAGCTGGAAGAAAGGGAAGATGCACTTTTGTACAAAAAGCTCGAAACTTGGCCCAGTATGGTTCATATGTTCGGATCGTATAGTCAGCGCGGGATTGTGCAAGCATGTTAATCAGTTGGTCGTGTAGCTTCGGGAGCAAATATGAACACAGGTGCATACATTATGAATTAGTAAAAAACCACTCGCAGTGCAATGATTGGGCTGTGCGGTAGTCCCGTGCCCGAGAAGGCAGTGGAATGGGACCCTACATCTAGGCATTGGCTTCCGTGTGTCAAGGAGATGTGCGCGTGGATGTGCGGGGCCCAAGTGCATGGGGAGGGCTGCAAAAGTGGCCACCAACTTGCGCCTGGCCAGTGCGGTACTATCAACGTAAATGATGCATGGGTGCGTTGTGCATGGTGTAGGACAGCTGGGACCAGTTGTGGTGGGGGAAAAGCGAAGTTGTTTTCGGATTTCCATGCGATCGAGAACGCGTCAACTGCGATGGCTTCCGGGTGGGGAATTTTTGTGCAGAAGCGCGACAGTTGGGTGTTGCGGGAGTTGGCAAAGAGGTCGATGGAGTGGGGACCCCAACGGCGTTCTAAGATGCAGAACCACGTCGTTTTCAATGCGTAATCATCGTGGTCGACCGTTTTTGAAAGCTCGTCGGCGTGTGAATTGAGCTCGCGCGGAATCCATTCAGTGATCAAGCGCGTGCCGAGCTCCATGCATATACGGATGATGCTCTTGCAGGCCGTTGTGAGGTCGGGGCTACGAGAGCCGCCTTTGCGAAGGATGAAGAAGACGCCCTGGTTGTCCACACGCACGAGAACGTGTTTCTGCTTGATCTTGTTGGCGTACGTTTGGAGCGTCCAAAGACGCCTTCGATTTCCCGCCGCGTGCTAGACGTTGCTCGTAGCAGCTCTGACATGGTTGTGCCAACTTCTTCAAAGCCACCAGGGAATGTGGTCAGAGTGGCGCCCCAACCGTGAGAGCTGGCATCCACATGGATTACTGCATCGTAGTTGTTCCGGACGTGAAAAGGTGCACTGTTGAACCGGTCAAACTCCTCAAGCCAAAAGTGTAGCTCCGCAGCTGTGGATGGGGGAATGACCACGCTGCTTTTCCATGACGGTGCATCGTTGATCACTTGTAACATGGCGTGGCTGAATGCACGAGCGGTTGCGCCGAGTGCGACACCCATTGATGCGAGGATGCCTGTGATTCTGGCCATGTGGCGGACGAGGACTGGTAGGCATGCATTGCTTGCACTCAGGAGGTTCTTGATGGTTGAATGTAGTGAGGTTCGTCGATCGGGACCGATGGAGAGTCGGCCGGTGTCTGTCTCAAGTTCTACACCCAAGAATCGGAGGTGTTGTGATGGTGACAGCTGTGATTTTTTCGCGTTTATCACAAAACTTGCCTTTTTAAGGTCCAATATCACCCGCTGGCAGATTGCTTGCGCATGGGCTTTCGACTGGCATAGAAATAAAATGTCGTCCACGTAAGGTATGACTCGGATGCCTTGTTCTCGCCAACGCCGAGCTAGCTGTTTGATCAGCTGCGTGAAAACGAATGGAGCTGTCGCGAGGCCAAATGGCAGTGAACGGAATGCGTATGTGCGCTTGTCGAATTCGAAGCCAAGGAACTTCCAGCATGATGAGTGGATGTCGATGTGGTGGTATCCAGACTTAAGGTTGATGGAGAACATCCAGTCCCCAACGTGTGACAGGTCGGCCACAGGGCTGAGCCCCTCGTACTTGAACTTGGGGACAATCAAGTTGGCGTTGACTTCCTCAGGTCAAGAATGAGTCTGCATTTGTCTTTTTGCTCGACCACGTTGAGTGGACTTATGCACGTAAGCTCCGTTGCGGGCATCGGGACTGCTGCTCCGGTCTCTATGAGTTCTTGGATGGCGGTACGTGTGAACGTGACATGCGTGTTCGCCCCAACATGGTTGCGATCGTGGAAGGGTTGTGGTGGGCCGTGGCTCCATGGCAGCCAGTAGCCCTTGGCGATGATGGAGAGGACAAGGCTGCAGGGGCACCATGAACTCCACCACGCAAAGGTCGCACGAAGCCGACCTCGCATCTGTGTAATAGTTTTGTCCGTAACGGCGAATTCATACGGATCGTCGTAGCATACCACCTCGCACCGTCGTGCTCCTATGTAGTGGAGGCAAAATGGGGTGATCATTTGGTGTTTCATTTCAAAACAACCGTATGCATGTACGAGCAACCATTTATCAAGATGTGAACAGCATCGACAATCTATCGAAATATCAACGAATATGTTGGGTACGTGCCGACGCTTCTTGTTTCTCTCCTCGCAAAAAACCTCCTGTTTTTTTTTTTTTTTTTTTTTTTGCCTCGCCTCCTTGTCCAATCGATAGGACATGCCCTTCGAGCATTGGAGGTTGATGCCTAGGAGCATGGACACACTTGTCCATCGTGCTTGATCTCGTTATCTCTCGTTTTCTCTCTCTCTCTCTCTCTCTCTCTCTCTCTCTCTCTCTCTCTCTCTCTCTCTCTCTCTCTCTCTCTCTCTCTCTCTCTCTCTCTCTCTCTCTCTCTCTCTCTTTCTCACTCACATTATTTCCCTTGCTCTTTAGTTCATGAACCCCACGTGATGCATGGTCGGCTGCATTCGCCTTACAGTGGGCTTCAATTTGGTATAATTTAAAGTCAAATTCATTTTTTTCTTATTACAACCGCATGCGCTTATGCCCGTTACTCATCTATAAGCGCACCCCCCTAAAAATCAATGTTATATTATAAGCGCACCTGCGCTTATATCCGGGGTGATACGGTACGGTACAAGGCGTACCTTTCAGGATGGTGAATCAGATAAAAAAATTAACGGCAGGCACTACTAGTGCAAACAAACCAAATGCCTAATGGTATAGAGGCTGCAAAAAGGAGGTTGCTGGTTCAGGTGGTTACTTGGCTGGCCATCTGTTTAGTAAGGAGGTCCTTCAATGTTGTGACAAGCGCATGCACATCATAATGCACTCCCGTACTGCTTTCACAGGGAAGTGAGGGCACCATAGTCTGGCGCAGGGGGCAGGGCGACACATAAGAAAAATGCGAATGGGATGGGACACGAATGCTGTGGATCATGCATACCAACCGGCAGAACATGGAAGGCAGACCACAGGCATGAGGGGCTAACACCTTGTAGCAATGGGTATGTGGCAGGACTTACCACAGAGGTGACTCCCAAGTATGTGAGGCGTTCATGGTCAAGGGGAATGGCTCCTCCCTCTGGTGCAATGAGATGCGTCACATAGTGCATCGACTGCAGGAGATTGGAAGTGAGTGGCCACAGCAGAGGGGAATACGAGTGTAATGGACGAAGGGTAAGTGGGAGTTGAAAGCATGCAGGAAAACACAGGTGTGAGCGGTGGCGTGTGCATCTGACCGAGTGGGTGAGGCGGTGGCGGGAGTCGTCTCCGAAGGTGCGGTTGAGGCAGTTGCAGATGGCGAGCACGAAGTCTGACGCCGCCATGCCCGCTGTCTCACGGTCCAACGACCCGTTCAGCACTAGCACCTGCCATGCCATGCGCGCGTGGGGCGGATGAGCAAAACATGCCCCACAACATGGGATGCCACTGCGAGCTTTTTTCTCTGAGCTCACGCCCTCCCACACAAAAATGAACCGGTGAAGGGGAGGATGGCAAGGGAAGAACAAAGAGAGTTGATGGGGTGTGCAGCAGAGCACAGCATTCCTGCTTGGGATGCTCTAGTGCACTCGGCCATACCTTGGGACATGCTCGTGCAGCGATTGCTTCTCCCACCCCTCGCAAGATCTAAGGTTTGGAGGAAAGGGATTGCGGACGGGACAGTGGCGAGGGCAATGAAAACGGGAGACATGAATGGATAACTCTCTGCATAAAACAGTGATAGTGAGAGCATGACAGGAGCAAGACGTGAGGGAGATGAACACAATTGGTGAGAACGAGGAGATGGTACGAAAGAGGGGTGTAGGTAGGTACCAGGGAGGGGCAGATGGAGGTGAAGAGGGAGCCAATGCCATAGATGATGGCATCCACTGATGCGATGTGCTCCAGCACTCGTGGATTCACACGAGGGAACACCTGCTAACACCACACAGCAACGACCCTCACACACGGTGATAAAAGATGGCAGCAACGGGCCTTAGTTTCACACATGGCACATGCAAGATGCAGCAGTTCCAGCAGTTGGCAGCTTGAAGCATCCCAGAGGTGGCGCACATGGCGGCACTGAGCCCATGGCAGGCGGCACGCACCTCATGCAGCAGGTTGGTGCCTTCACTTGACATGTAGAACACACGGCGGATGGGCGCGGGCAGAGGAGGCGACGCGTCAGACGACTGCAGAGAGAATGGGGGTAGGAAAAGGGAGAGGAAGACAGGCAGCAGGAGCACACGTGAGGCACACTCCATCAACCTGGGTGGTGGACGTGTGTGTGTATGAGGGGGGCTGTGAAGGCATGCAGAGGCGGCATTGCAGCAGCAGGGTGGTGGGAGCAGTGCGACCTTGTCGACGGAGAGCGGCAGGTGGCGGGGGCTGTCTACGACAGCGGGGTGTGAGATGCAGTTCTGCCCGCGGATGATGCTGCCGTCCTGATGCCCACACCACACCATGTGGTGCGCCAACACGCATACGGGAAGGGCGGGTCGCACGCACAAAGACATAGGGGAGGGATATTGGGATTAGATGAAAACTGGGACAGGTCACTGGAGCGAGTGGAAGGAGAAATGGGCCTTATGGTAATCACTGAAAGGAGAAATGGGCCTTATGGTAATCACTGAAAGGGGATGGCCATGCAATGCTAATGCGGGGCCAAAGTGGGTCACACTGCACTGTTAGGCAATGGAGGCGGTGAAGAGCTAGGCAGGGGCTTTTGTCAGTATGGGAGGTGGGTGGGATGAGAGGCATGGCTAAAGGGAGGAAGTGGTGTGTGGAGGGGGTGTGTGGTTACAAAGAGCTCGGCGCCGAGAGTGAAGCGGTCGTTGGTGCAGACACAGGGCAGCACGAGGCTGCGCTGTGGGATGTTGGAGACGCGGGAGAAGAGGAAGATGGCGGCGTCCAGCGAGCGGAAGAAGGAGCGCGCGCCTGAGAAGAAGAAGTTGCCCACACTGGCAGGCCATGCACGGGCACACACAGGTGGCAGGCATGCACGGGCACACACAGGTGGCAGGCATGCACGGGCACACACAGGTGGCAGGCATGCACGGGCACACACAGGTGGCAGGCATGCACGGGCACACACAGGTGGCAGGCATGCGCGGGCACACACAGGTGGCACGCGTGGCATGATGGTGGGAGGTCAGAAGGACAAGTGTAGAGTAGAGGGTGAGGTGGCAGTCATCATAAGGGGTGTGGCGTGCAAGTGTCATGTCAGTACATCATGGCAAAAGGATGGGTGTGCGAGGAGGAAAGAGAATACACACCTCCCATGCTGGAAGCAGAAGCGATGGCCTGCATTGCGGAGGATCTGGCATGGAGGGCCAAGGCAGACAGGACCGAGAGCGGACAAGGATGGGCACATGAGGACGAGGGAGAAGGTCCTGATGGGCTGTTGGTGACATGAGAGATGTTGCAAGCGGAGCGGAACAGAACTGTGGAGGCGAGGAGAACCTGGTAGTGGAAGTGCAGGAGGAGAACCTGGTAGTGGAAGTGCAGGAGGAGAACCTGGTAGTGGAAGTGCAGGAGGAAGGCCCGGATGATCTCCTTGTACGGATCCGACACGCCGCCCCACAGCTCATGCTCGCCCTCCACTATGCTCAGCCTGCACACCCACCGCACACACACACACACACCACATGCCCATGGCACGCCACACTGTGAGCCGTGCGCACCAGCCCACAGAGAACGGTGGGTGGGTGATGGATGTAGTAAGTGGTTGTGATGGGTGTGGTGTGAGCGCGAGGTCACCATTCTGCCTTGGCTTGCGCGGGGTGCAGTGGCAGGCGGTGTCCCAGCAGTCGCCGCACTGCTCTGGACTCGTGGCTAGACCCGTCGGACAGGCGCAGGCAGCGCGAGCGAATGTCACCGATGGCAGGCCCACCTGGGGGCACAGAGAGTGGTGCGGGATGAGGGGGTCAAAGAGGGTGTTGAGTGAGAGAGGTGGGCGCTGGAGGGAGCATGAGAAGCGTGGTGTGGCAGCGTGATGCGGCAGCGTGATGCGGCAGTGTGATGTGGCAGCATGATGTGGCAGTGTGATGCGGCAGTGTGATGTGGCAGTGTGATGTGGCAGTGTGATGCAGCAGTGTGATGCAGCAGTGTGATGTGGCAGTGTGATGTGGCAGTGTGATGTGGCAGTGTGATGCGGCAGTGTGATGCGGCAGTGTGATGTGGCAGTGTGATGTGGCAGCGTGATGCGGCAGTGTGATGTGGCAGTGTGATGTGGCAGTGTGATGTGGCAGTGTGATGTGGCAGTGTGATGCGGCAGTGTGATGTGGCAGTGTGATGTGGCAGTGTGATGTGGCAGTGTGATGTGGCAGTGTGATGTGGCAGTGTGATGCGGCAGTGTGATGCGGCAGTGTGATGTGGCAGTGTGATGTGGCAGTGTGATGCGGCAGTGTGATGTGGCAGTGTGATGTGGCAGTGTGATGTGGCAGTGTGATGTGGCAGTGTGATGTGGCAGTGTGATGCGGCAGTGTGATGCGGCAGTGTGATGTGGCAGCGTGATGTGGCAGTGTGATGTGGCAGTGTGATGTGGCAGTGTGATGTGGCAGCGTGATGCGGCAGTGTGATGTGGCAGTGTGATGTGGCAGTGTGATGTGGCAGTGTGATGTGGCAGTGTGATGTGGCAGTGTGATGTGGCAGTGTGATGTGGCAGTGTGATGTGGCAGTGTGATGCGGCAGTGTGATGTGGCAGTGTGATGTGGCAGTGTGATGTGGCAGTGTGATGTGGCAGTGTGATGCGGCAGTGTGATGCGGCAGTGTGATGTGGCAGCGTGATGTGGCAGTGTGATGTGGCAGTGTGATGTGGCAGTGTGATGTGGCAGTGTGATGTGGCAGTGCGATGTGGCAGTGTGATGCGGCAGTGTGATGTGGCAGTGTGATGTGGCAGTGTGATGTGGCAGTGTGATGTGGCAGTGTGATGTGGCAGTGTGATGTGGCAGTGTGATGCGGCAGTGTGATGTGGCAGTGTGATGTGGCAGTGTGATGTGGCAGTGTGATGTGGCAGCGTGATGTGGCAGTGTGATGTGGCAGTGTGATGCGGCAGTGTGATGCGGCAGTGTGATGTGGCAGCGTGATGTGGCAGTGTGATGTGGCAGTGTGATGTGGCAGTGTGATGTGGCAGTGTGATGTGGCAGTGTGATGTGGCAGTGCGATGTGGCAGTGTGATGTGGCAGTGTGATGTGGCAGCGTGATGTGGCAGTCTGATGTGGCAGTGTGATGTGGCAGTGTGATGTGGCAGTGTGATGTGGCAGTGTGATGCGGCAGTGTGATGTGGCAGTGTGATGTGGCAGTGTGATGTGGCAGTGTGATGTGGCAGTGTGATGTGGCAGTGCGATGTGGCAGTGCGATGCGGCAGTGTGATGCGGCAGTGTGATGTGGCAGTGTGATGTGGCAGTGTGATGTGGCAGTGTGATGTGGCAGTGTGATGCGGCAGTGTGATGCGGCAGTGTGATGTGGCAGCGTGATGTGGCAGTGTGATGTGGCAGTGTGATGTGGCAGTGTGATGTGGCAGTGTGATGTGGCAGTGCGATGTGGCAGTGTGATGCGGCAGTGTGATGTGGCAGTGTGATGTGGCAGTGTGATGTGGCAGTGTGATGTGGCAGTGTGATGTGGCAGTGTGATGTGGCAGTGTGATGCGGCAGTGTGATGTGGCAGTGTGATGTGGCAGTGTGATGTGGCAGTGTGATGTGGCAGCGTGATGTGGCAGTGTGATGTGGCAGTGTGATGCGGCAGTGTGATGCGGCAGTGTGATGTGGCAGCGTGATGTGGCAGTGTGATGTGGCAGTGTGATGTGGCAGTGTGATGTGGCAGTGTGATGTGGCAGTGTGATGTGGCAGTGCGATGTGGCAGTGTGATGTGGCAGTGTGATGTGGCAGCGTGATGTGGCAGTCTGATGTGGCAGTGTGATGTGGCAGTGTGATGTGGCAGTGTGATGTGGCAGTGTGATGCGGCAGTGTGATGTGGCAGTGTGATGTGGCAGTGTGATGTGGCAGTGTGATGTGGCAGTGTGATGTGGCAGTGCGATGTGGCAGTGCGATGCGGCAGTGTGATGCGGCAGTGTGATGTGGCAGTGTGATGTGGCAGTGTGATGTGGCAGTGTGATGTGGCAGTGTGATGTGGCAGTGTGATGCGGCAGTGTGATGTGGCAGTGTGATGTGGCAGTGTGATGTGGCAGTGTGATGTGGCAGCGTGATGTGGCAGTGTGATGTGGCAGTGTGATGTGGCAGTGCGATGTGGCAGTGTGATGCGGCAGTGTGATGTAGCAGTGTGATGCGGCAGTGTGATGTGGCAGTGTGATGTGGCAGTGTGATGTGGCAGTGTGATGTGGCAGTGTGATGCGGCAGTGTGATGTGGCAGTGTGATGTGGCAGTGTGATGCGGCAGTGTGATGTGGCAGCGTGATGCGGCAGTGTGATGTGTCAGCGTGATGCGGCAGTGTGATGTGGCAGTGTGATGTGGCAGTGTGATGTGGCAGTGTGATGCGGCAGTGTGATGTGGCAGTGTGATGTGGCAGTGTGATGTGGCAGTGTGATGTGGCAGTGTGATGTGGCAGTGTGATGCGGCAGTGTGATGCGGCAGTGTGATGTGGCAGCGTGATGTGGCAGTGTGATGTGGCAGTGTGATGTGGCAGTGTGATGTGGCAGCGTGATGCGGCAGTGTGATGTGGCAGTGTGATGTGGCAGTGTGATGTGGCAGTGTGATGCGGCAGTGTGATGTGGCAGCGTGATGCGGCAGTGTGATGTGGCAGCGTGATGCGGCAGTGTGATGTGGCAGTGTGATGTGGCAGCGTGATGTGGCAGTGTGATGCGGCAGTGTGATGTGGCAGTGCGATGTGGCAGTGTGATGCGGCAGTGTGATGTGGCAGTGTGATGTGGCAGTGTGATGTGGCAGTGTGATGTGGCAGTGTGATGTGGCAGTGTGATGTGGCAGTGTGATGCGGCAGTGTGATGTGGCAGTGTGATGTGGCAGTGTGATGTGGCAGCGTGATGTGGCAGTGTGATGTGGCAGTGTGATGTGGCAGTGTGATGTGGCAGTGTGATGTGGCAGCGTGATGTGGCAGCGTGATGTGGCGGTGTGATGTGGCAGTGTGATGTGGCAGTGTGATGTGGCAGCGTGATGTGGCAGTGTAATGTGGCAGTGTGATGTGGCAGTGCGATGTGGCAGTGTGATGTGGCAGTGTGATGCGGCAGTGTGATGTGGCAGTGTGATGTGGCAGTGTGATGTGGCAGTGTGATGTGGCAGTGTGATGTGGCAGTGTGATGTGGCAGTGTGATGTGGCAGAGTGATGCGGCAGTGTGATGTGGCAGTGTGATGTGGCAGTGTGATGTGGCAGTGTGATGTGGCAGTGTGATGCGGCAGTGTGATGTGGCAGTGTGATGTGGCAGTGTGATGTGGCAGTGTGATGTGGCAGCGTGATGTGGCAGTGTGATGTGGCAGTGTGATGCGGCAGTGTGATGCGGCAGTGTGATGTGGCAGCGTGATGTGGCAGTGTGATGTGGCAGTGTGATGTGGCAGTGTGATGTGGCAGTGTGATGTGGCAGTGTGATGTGGCAGTGCGATGTGGCAGTGTGATGTGGCAGTGTGATGTGGCAGCGTGATGTGGCAGTCTGATGTGGCAGTGTGATGTGGCAGTGTGATGTGGCAGTGTGATGTGGCAGTGTGATGCGGCAGTGTGATGTGGCAGTGTGATGTGGCAGTGTGATGTGGCAGCGTGATGTGGCAGTGTGATGTGGCAGTGTGATGTGGCAGTGTGATGTGGCAGTGTGATGTGGCAGCGTGATGTGGCGGTGTGATGTGGCAGTGTGATGTGGCAGTGTGATGTGGCAGTGTGATGTGGCAGCGTGATGTGGCAGTGTGATGTGGCAGTGTGATGTGGCAGTGCGATGTGGCAGTGTGATGTGGCAGTGTGATGCGGCAGTGTGATGTGGCAGTGTGATGTGGCAGTGTGATGTGGCAGTGTGATGTGGCAGTGTGATGTGGCAGTGTGATGTGGCAGTGTGATGTGGCAGTGTGATGTGGCAGTGTGATGCGGCAGTGTGATGTGGCAGTGTGATGTGGCAGTGTGATGTGGCAGCGTGATGTGGCAGTGTGATGTGGCAGTGTGATGTGGCAGTGTGATGTGGCAGTGTGATGTGGCAGCGTGATGTGGCGGTGTGATGTGGCCGTGTGATGTGGCAGTGTGATGTGGCAGTGTGATGTGGCAGTGTGACGTGGCAATGTGATGTGGCAGTGTGATGTGGCAGTGTGATGTGGCAGTGTGATGTGGCAGTGTGATGTGGCAGTGCGATGTGGCAGTGTGATGCGGCAGTGTGATGTGGCAGTGTGATGTGGCAGTGTGATGTGGCAGTGTGATGTGGCAGTGTGATATGGCAGTGTGATGTGGCAGTGTGATGTGGCAGTGTGACGTGGCAATGTGATGTGGCAGTGTGATGTGGCAGTGTGATGTGGCAGTGTGATGTGGCAGTGTGATGTGGCAGTGTGATGTGGCAGTGTGATGTGGCAGTGTGATGTGGCAGTGTGATGTGGCAGTGTGATGTGGCAGTGTGATGCAGCAGTGTGATGTGGCAGTGTGATGTGGCAGTGTGATGTGGCAGCGTGATGTGGCAGTGTGATGTGGCAGTGTGATGTGGCAGTGTGATGTGGCAGTGTGATGTGGCAGCGTGATGTGGCGGTGTGATGTGGCAGTGTGATGTGGCAGTGTGATGTGGCAGTGTGATGTGGCAGTGTGACGTGGCAATGTGATGTGGCAGTGTGATGTGGCAGTGTGATGTGGCAGTGTGATGTGGCAGTGTGATGTGGCAGTGCGATGTGGCAGTGTGATGCGGCAGTGTGATGTGGCAGTGTGATGTGGCAGTGTGATGTGGCAGTGTGATGCGGCAGT